TAATTTAGTGAAGGTTTAGAAGAGATTTGTTCTCATGCATGTACATTTTCCTCCCTCCCCTTCCCCAGTTCTCTTTGCAATATTTGTCCTGTTCCAGGCTACTGATGGTCATATACATAGTTTCCAATTGTCCATTCCTTTCAGATTATCTTTTTCACCCATTCCAGTAAAATGTTCACTATTCTTTTCCCACTCTCTCTTCTGCACAGTTGATCCTATTATTAACAGCGGGCTTATGCAATATTTGTCCCTTTGTAACTGAGATATTTTACTCAGCATGTCTTTCAGACTCATCCATATTGTGTAGTGTTTCACAAGTTCATTGCTTTTCAATGTTGCATTAGTCCATTGTGTGATGTACCATAGTTTTTCCATCCATTCAGTTGTTGATAGGCATTTGAGCTACTTCCACCTATTTGCTATTGTGAATTACAGAGTGATAAATAAGGTTGTGCATGAGATATCTAATCTTAATGATCGTCCCACCCCATGATTCCCAAGGTTGTTGCTAGAAATGGCAGAAGACTACCCATCTTTCCCTGGTGCATACTTTCGGTTAGCAGCATAACTTGCCAAGAAGTATTCCTGTAGAGTCTACCCACTCTCCCCAGCTTACTGCCTTAGAATTTTATGAGGGTACATATTTAACAATAATAATTTAAATGATGAATTAAAGCTTGAGATTCAGAGAAGTACTATGAGGGGCATAACTTTGCTCCTGAAGAAGGGTCTAATTTCTTCAAGATCACAGTGAGAAGAGGCTAAGTTGTTGACCCTGCAGCTGTGCTAAGAGAAGGGGTCAGCACACCATGTGACTTTTCCTCACTGAAACTCATATCCTCATTTGTACTTGGAGACCATTCCAATGACTTGGTCTTTGTCAAGTTACCAAACTCAGCCTTACTTACCTCATCTGAATAATGGGATGATAGTAGCCCATCCCTTATAGGGTTAGTGTGAAGACCAGTTGTGCTAAGGTATAAAAGCACTTAGTACTATGTTACTGTAGACAATATGTAATAAATGCTAGCATAATATCATAATCATCATAGATGCCTTCCTCTGCCTTGACTTAGTCCATATCCTCTCATCCATCCAGGCACATGAAGCACCTTGCCCAGAAAGGGGTCTTGCCGTATTTTGTCTGAGCCTTTATTATAGTTTCTCCTTATTTTGGATGCACCTGCTTCTTCAGATTATAAAAATTGAAGGTTTAAACCCACCCAGAGCTGCCTCAGATGACAGCCTGGAGACCTGTTTCTGAAATGTCAATTAGCCTTGCAAACCCTGGGGAAGAGTTCTACTCTGTACTCATGCAGTCACTATGACTTGTAACACAATATACAAACAGACAAGACCAGCAATTGAGGGAGTGCAAATAAGCCTAGAAAACAAAGAGCAGAGATGATGCACAGAAGACTGATTTTCATATGTGGGAACTTTTATAGAAAAGACAAGTTAACAGTGACTGCATCTGTGAGCACTGTGGCATTGGTGCCTGGAATGATGTCTTCCTGGAACAGCTTACTTCCCTGCAAAATCTGCAGTAGTCAACCTCAGACAGTGACTATAATGATATGAATGATGATGCAAAAAGTCAGCAAACTGCTGAGATGGTGTCTTGCATCCATGGCTTTTGTTAATTCTTCATAAGCTTCTCATGATATTGGAGTAGAATGGCAGAGAATGGGTGCTTAGATCTCCTCTTAGAAGCCAGAAAATTTTCACATGATAAGATACATTCTAGAAAACTGCCAAACATTGATGTTATACTTTTAGTTTATGTGCTGGTGCAGTCACTATAGCTTTTCATATGACAAACTAGGAATCCAGCATTTTCCTGTTTAAGATAAACCTTGCTTTAAGCACCACTTTAACTCTTTGAAAGAGTCCTGGAGATCTAGGTGTTAAATGTTGGGCTAGTTCAAAATCAGGAAAGGAGTATATCAGAGATGTGCCCTGTCTTCTTTTTTTTTCCAGTCTATATGCAGAACAGATCATTCAGGAGGATAGGGTTTATGAGGAGGAATGTGGCATCAGGAATGGAGGAAGACTTATCAACAACCTGTGGTATGCAGATGACACAACCTTGCTTATTGAAACTGAGAAGGACTTGAAGCACTTGCTGTGGAAGGTCAAGGACTGTAATCTTCAATATGGAATGAAGTTCAACATCAAGAAGACAAAGATTCTCATCACTGAGCCAATCGGCAGCATTGTAATAGATGGCAAAGAATTTGAGTTTAACAATTTTAGCTTGCTCAGCACCACAATCAACACTCTTGGCACCAGCAGTCAGGAAATTGAAAGACAAACTGCATTAGGAAAATCTGTGGTTGGGGACTGAGAGTACTGAGAAGCAACAATATCAGTATAGAGACTAAGGTACACCTGATTCAGGCCATGGTCTTCACAATTACTTGCTATATGCATGAGAGAGCTGGATAATTGCTAAGGATGATAGAAGAATCAATGCCTTTGAGGTGTGATGCTAGAGAAGAGTACTGAACATACCATAGACTGCCAAGAGAACAAACAGGTCTGTCTTGGAGAGGGAGAAACCAAGTTTCTCTTTGCAGGCTAGGATCTCATACTTTGGGCATGTGACCAGGAGGGAGCAGTCATTGGAGAAGAACATCATGCTCAGAAGGAAGGAGGGACAGCATAGGAGAGGAAGACGCTGGATGATATGGATTGAGTAGGTGGATTTAGATGAGGTCATGGTACTAGGGATATTATAGCTAATGTTAGATGGATCTTGGCAGAAAGCAAAGAATACCAGAAGAATGTCTATCTGTACTTCATTGACTATGCAAAGGCTTTTGACTGTGTGGATCACAACAAGCTGTGGCTGACTCTGAGAAGAATGGGTGTGGAACATTTGATTGTGCTAATGTGAAACCTGTACTTGGACCAAGATGCAGTCATCAGGACAGAGCAAGGAGAACTACATGGTTCAAAATCTAGAAGGGGGTCTTTCAGGGATGTATTCTGTCTCCATACCTTTACAATCTGTATGCAGAACAGATCATCCGAGATGCTGGGCTGTATGAGGAGGAATGTGGCATCAGAACTGATTGAAGAGTTATCAACAACCTGCGATATGCAGATGACACAACCCTGCTCACTGAAACTGAGGAGGGCCTGAAGCGCTTGCTGCAGAAGGTCAAGGACTGCAGCCTCCTATATGGATTGAAGCTCAACATCAAGAAAACAAAGATTCTCACCACTGGGCCAATTGGGCAGCATCAGGATGGATGGTGAAGAGATTGAGATAGTTAACAGTTTTAGTTTGCTTGGCTCCACAGTCAACACTCTTAGTAACAGCAGCCAGGAGATCAAGAGATGAATTGCATTGGGAGAGTTGGCTGTGAGGGACCTCTCAAGAGTACTGAAGAACAACGACATCAGGCTGGAGACTAAGTGCGCCTGATCCAGGCTATAGTCTTCGCAATTACATGCTTTGCATCAGAGAGTTGGACAGTGAATAGGGTTGATAGAAAGAGAACTGATGCCTTTGAGCTGTGGTGCTGGAGAAGAGTGTTGAATATATCATGGATTGCTAGGAGAACAATCAGGTTTGTCCTGGAGAAGGTGAAGCCGGACTGCTCCTTGGAGTCAAGGATTCTGAAGCTTCTTCTGACATACTTTGGGCATGTTGCAAGGAGCGATCCTTGGAGAGGGACATCACGTTTGGCAGAGTGGACGGGCGGCAAAAGAGAGGAAGACCGGTGATGAGATGGATCGATTCTGTGACTGGAGCAGTGGGAATAAGTGCGTTTGAGATGGCTAGGTTGGCACAGGATAGAACAGCATTTAGAGCTCTTGTATATAGGGTGGCTATGAGTCACAAATGACTCGATGGCACATAACAACAATAAGTGGAGTATTGGGGTAGATGTGTTAGAGTCAGTGAGATTGGATCAGGATAGGGCAGGCTTCAGAGTTGTTATATATAGGGTCATTATGAGTTGCAGGTGACTTGATGGCATGTAATAACCACAAAATGAAAGTTCTGTGGTGCAAACTCACCAGTTGTTCTGTGGGAGAACAATCAGAAAGTCAGCTTCTGCAAAGATGATTGTTGTTATGTGCCACAGAATCACCTGTGACTCACAATGACTCTGTGAGCAACAGTTCTGAACCCATCTCTAACTTGAGCCAGTCTCACTGTCTCTGACACACTCACTCCTCATAACTCCAGTTACTGTGTCAATCCATCCCATCTGGGGTCTTCCCCTTCTGCTTTGTCACTCCACCCTTGTAGGCATGATGTCCTTCTTCAAGGATTGGTCCCTCTTGGCCACATGCCAAAGTTACGTGAGATGGAGCTTCAAATTATTTGCCTCCAAGGAACAGCTTGGTTTCACCCTCTTCTGGACAGATTTGTTCTTTTGGTGGTTCATATTATGTTCAATACTC